TGCTGGCGCTCCTGACGCTCTTTTTGTTTTCGCTCAGTTTTGGATGATTAAACCATACGCATAATTCCAAACAGAAATACTGTTATGAACAGAGCCCTTTCTCCGAAAATTGTTCTGGCCCAGAAGGAAATCGAACCACTCCTCTACATTTCCTAACACGATGTACTACCACTACACCACCGTTCCTTGTACTACAGGTTCAGCCTGACAGCACATCTACTGTGTATTGCCTTTCAGGGTGAGGCACGCTTTTTTTCTCTTTTTCTTTGTGGCGGCTTCTTTGCCAGCCTTTCGCCAGTTTTAACCGGCAAATACATTGCACGACATGGTTGTCAGCTATAAATAATTGGCCAACGCACGGGCTGCCCGTGCGAAGATGCGTTTTTTGCATAGCTCCCCGAAGATTTTTGTCGCTGACGACACTGGTTTTTCTGGCAGATGCTTCTAGCTAAAAGAATTTCAGATTAGCCGCCAGGACTGTCAGGAAACATCCCTTCAAAAATCCAGTTTTCTAGCTTCTCACTTTCCTGAGTTAGCAACTTACGCGGAAGAAAATTTCAAGGGCCCGTACGTAGGTTCCACGCTTACCCGTAGGTAGGGTTTGAACTCGTTAATACCTACTTGGACGGGGAACATTGCCATAAGTTTCCAGCGTTCTGCCTTCTCAGATCCCCGAGTTATGAACTTGCCCGAAAAAAATTTTGGTGGGCTCGTACGCAAGTACCACACTTATTCAGAGGATGGGTTTCAGTGCTCTAAAACCTAGTTGGACGGGGAACATTCTCCTAAAATTTTAGCGTTCTAGCTCCTCAGATCCCCGAGTTATGAACTTACCCGAGAAAAATTTTGGCGGGCCCGTACGCAGGTACTACACTTACCCGGGGGATGAGTTTCAGTGCGTTAACACCTACTTGGACGGAGAACATCCCCTTAAGATTTCAGCGTTCTAGCTTTTCAGATTCCCGAGTTATGAACTTACCCAAAAAAAACTTTGGCGCGCCCGTACGCGGGTACCACGCGGGTTTTGGCGCTCATTTTGGGGATTGGGGCCGACACGTGCATGTAGATTAAGTCCCCGAAATTTCAACCCCGCAGCTTTTATAGATCTTGAGATGAAAGTGCGTGACAGGCGCACACACAGACACACAGACGCACAGACACACAGACAACCCCTCATCAGTACGCGTTTTCTGCATTGCATAGCTGCAAAAAACGCATAATTAGTGATGGACTAAGTAGCCTTTCCAAGTGGATCCATGTAAGCATATCTGTAAATTGATTTAAATTTTTTGATTTTTATCGTTATTTTCATGCAGGTTTCATATTACCATGCAGCAGAACTGTGCCTACTCGATTGGTCTGCAACAGCTGCCTATAGTATAACACTGGGCGTGCTTATTTTAGTACCTTCCTTATGCAGTATATTGTTCACTTATTCTTCTATTCTTTGGGCTATGAGAAATTCTCATACGGTAAGTAGGCAAATTCATATTCTTTCTCTTTGTTTTCAGCTTCGTTTGTGATATTTTCTTGATAATTTTCAAAATAAACAGCAAATTTATTTCTCTGTTATCACTGCGCCAATTGTTTTGACATACTGAAACGCTCCAGTTAATAGTATTGAGCACAATCCTGAATAATACATCACGAATCCTGGATGATGCGTTAAAATCCTGGATAATACATAGTATGCTGGATAATACGTCACGATTCGAAGGATCCGGAAAAGGGTGAAGTGAGCGGTCCGATTCTCTTTTGGTCCATGTCTTTCACAAACTCAGGCTGGAACGCACCAGGCTCTCCGGTGCAATCATGATTTTTGCACTGAATTCGCAGATCGCTACTAGCAAGAATGATCACTACGCTGTAGTCTAACACTTGGGCTCATATTGGCTATACTTTGGCCCCTT